CTATACACACACACACACACACACACACACACACAAAGCTCAGTATAATTGGACCTCAGTGCTGTGGATCTATTAGAGAGCTTATGATGGAAAAGGCTGTGGAGTTGTATTTCCAGAGCTGTGCACGTACCAAGAAAAGTAACAGCAACTCACATCCAACCATAACTATTGCGTTGCATTATGGTATACTCAAGAATATGTACCTAACCTCTCACAGACAACAATGAAGTGCCTCTGCCATTTTCAATTCAAATTTCAGTCTTTTCTTTAATATTTAATTTGCCCACCCAAACATAGATGGAGAAAGTTGGACCCTGCATATATTTGCATATATTTATATTCATATAAATGCATATATTTATGCATTTAACCTCAATTATACACATATAAAAAAAGCTTAGAGCATCATATTTTTATTTTAGGACAAGGCCTTTAGTCTAAGTGCTTTTTGTTTGGGCTTTTTGCCACTTTTGTAGAAGTGCTTTTTATATTTTATATTTACTTTTTATATCCTCTTCTCTAGCTTGCTTCCTAATTTTATTGTATTTTCAGTGGATAAATGGCAGGAAATGGTGGGGGAAGAAAATGACGACGATCAGGAAATGTTGAGAGCTGAATTCAAACTTGAATAGCTCACATAAGCATCAAATCTCAACTTGCCAGATTACATAAACCATATTTTGGCTGATGGGAGAGATGTTAAACATGGTTTTTGTGACATCCAGTGTGTATGATTTTGTGCATTTTGTAATACTGATGGGTTGGGATTTCCTTGATATCGCTATGGCTCATTGGAAGAACTATGATCTTTAGGATCATTTGGAGCTGAGGTTTTGGACTGAGCATCATCTCCTGCCAGGTGGACCCCATGGGTCCAGGCCTCTCATTTGTTCTGGAATGGATGCACTGAGACGGAGGTTTGTTCAGTAACAGCCTGACTCTCCTCCCCTGTTTTGTGTTTGTATCGCTTGCATAACTTCACCACTGCTGTGCTTCAGGAACTTTCACATAACACAGCGCTAAAAGTAAACAGTACTTTTTGGTCCTGTAATTGTGGCCTCTTGTCTCAGAAGAGGGTTTGATTATTATTTTTTTTCATTTGGAGATAAAATCCTCCCAGCAGCAATTAAACTTCTTTCTATAAAGAGCAGAAATGTGGATGGTAGAACTTTTAGGTCTTAGAATCAGATGTTTGTGCTAAATCTGTTCATGTCTTCTAACGTTGATTTAGTTTAAATGGCAGCAGATTGGAGCGTACACACAAAACTAACTGGTAGTTTCTTGTGGCGGTTGGTTCCAGAGGGGCGGTTGTGTGGGACGGTCCGTCTATTGTACAACACCCCCTATTTCCTTGAGTGCTTTGATAGTGTGATTCAGTGCCAGGCTCAAAGGGGGCTGGCATGGTGACTGACATTATTGAAAGTGATAGGTCAGTAGAATGAGCGCATTCAGCTCGCGGTGGTACGCTGGCACCATTGTACCCATTCATAAACCATCTTTAACCTCACATGCATATATATACAGAAAAGCACGACCAGAGTTCATTGAACACGATGAAAAATAGACTGGGCTTTTGACTTTGTGAGATGACGGGATAATGATTGGTTTTACATTGTGTGCTTTAATGGAATGACCACTCTGAGACTTGAAAAGCTTTGCAGTGATCCTATGATTATGTGTCATTACTGAACATGAGCAAGAGGACTATTGCGAGAGGGGTAAAGATGCATTAAAAATGTCATTTGCAAATCTGACTGATTAAGACTAAATTATTGTCATTCAACTAACTGTGTGAATGTACTGTTATTTCTTTGTTTTCTCATATTCTTATAGTTTCAGAATGATTTCCTATCTAGAACCACGTTTTATAATATTGGATCTGTTGAAGGATAAAGGTTAACAGTGTATCTTGTTGTCTCTTCACACACACAGCATCAGAGAGCACCAGCACACCAATGGAAGGTCCAGGAAAAGCTTTTAGCAGCTTCATTTAAAGTTTCTCCACCGATGCGGATAAAGAGATATGACTGAACATTCAGGATTCAGGTTATATTGCTTAGCAAATCTAGAATTAAATGATTATTATTATTTATTTTTATATATTTTTAACATTTCCAAGATCTATGGGCCTCCTGTTGCCTAAAGCAGTCTGTAACTCAGTATTAACGAAACTGTTAAAACCGCGCCTAACTCACTATTTCTCTCTGTCTTACACACATATGCACGCATGTATACATTTTTTTACATCGATTCTCTGCTTAAATATGCTCCTTGTGCATAAAAAAATTTTTGTGGCAACAATTTGCTAAATGAACTTGGTGCTCTATCCCCCATTAACACACCGTAATGTGTGTAGAAAAGTCTTGGATTTTTTTTTTTTCTTCACTAATTCACTGGGCTTGGAGGTGCTGCTTCTCAAGTGTAATTTCGGGGTCAGTAAGATTTTTTGTTGTGTGTGTCGCTGAAAAGTCTATGCTTGGCTGCATTTATTTGATAAAAAATACAGTAACATTATGAAATATTATTACAATTTATAAAAATAAATAACCTTATTTATTTATTTGTTTGTTTGTAATTTATTCTTGTCATGGCAAAGCTGAATTTTCAGCAGTCATTTCTTCAGTGTCACATGATCTTTCATAAATCATTGTAATATGCCGACTTTTATAATAAATGTTGAAAACAGATGTTCTGCTTAATATTTTTGTGGATTCTACAATTATTTGACATTCTTTTGTAACATAAATATCTATTATTATATTATAAATGCAAATCAATTTAATTTGTCCTTGCTCAAGAAAAAAAAAAACCTGACCCCAAACTTTTAAATGGTAGTGTTGCTTGCTTACAATGTACTGGTAATTTTATAAAACAGGACAAGTACATTTCAAGTACAGAGATCTGACCTTCAGTCCCTTGTTAAAGGGGTCATCGGATGCCCATTTGATATAAGTTGATATAATTCTTTAGGGTCTTAATGAAAAGTCTATAACATACTTTGGTTAAAATGTCTCAATGGTAGTGTAAAAAACACCTTTTTTACCCTGTCAAAATGAGCTCTGTTTTTAGCAAGCAATTCTAGTCCATGTTGCTTTAAATGCTAATGAGCTCTGCTGACCCCACCCCTCTCTTCTGTGGGGTGAGGAGCAGTACTATTTACTTTAGCCGCGAAACTTGCTAACTAGCACATATTAGGAAAGGCGATTTGCAAAGATTCATAAAAACCTTATACTCACTTCTTGTGTAGATGAAGCTAGATCACGAATGATTCGCGCGAACATAGACGCATTTAGGCAGATCGGGGATCGGCACATTCCCTTCAAAACGAAGTGTCGGGAGTAAATGACGACTGCTATGTTCATTATTACATCCAACAACAAAACACCTCAATCGATTAGGAGTCATTCTTGTCTACGTCTGCTCCGGCGGTGAAACAATGGAGGACTGATGACAGCTCACTCAGGGCGCACCAGAGTCGACACAATGGCGGACTGATGACAGAACTACGTCATTCTGACAGGAATCTCAGAACAGCCAGATTTGAAAAAGAGGATTTTAAAGTAGGGATTTAAAAAAAACCACTGTGGATTTTTATCATTATTGGATGGATGTTTACACTCACTTCCAACACACATTTATGTTCAAACATCAACAAAAGTGAATTTTGCATCCGATGACCCCTTTAACAACGTGGAGGGCCGCAGTGGCTGTTAAATACATCAGAGATCTGAACCCAGTGTGAACACAACATTTCCCATTTTTAGACCCCTCCTGAGATCAGTTTGCTTTCTCCACAAGCAGCCTGCCAAAACACACACACACACACACACACACACACAGACAGAGACACACACAGAGACACACACACACTTCTTAAAGTACATTTTCAGTCAACTCATGACTGCTGTGTTTTGTTTGTGTTCAATTTCATATTACCTGCATTAAATGCTTAATCATTGTATGTAAACCTCCATGGTTATATTTATGAAGCTAGTAATGTATATTCATTCCTAAATAATTGTGTGGACTTAGTACTGTCGTTCAACCTCAGGCATATGCTTTGTGTTTTTACACTTATAATATTTTAAACGTGTCAGCAGTTTTTAACATTAAGTGTGTTTCAGAGTTTGGTTTGGCTTGCATTTGATCCATCTGTTGAAGTATGTGTGAAGGCAAAAGCTGGTTTGGCATGTGTTTGAATGATTGAGACCGTATCCTGGTCTTGGCATATTGTTAGTGTTCTATATTGCGTGTGAAATGGACATGGCTTTGCTTGAGTGCGTGTGGTTGAGAGAGAGTGATAGAGAGTATCATGTGAGACAAGTGTGGGCAATCACTCCCATCATGCATTTTATCACATGGGTGGCCATGCCTAAGTCACGCTGGAGTGCTTATTGGCTGCACATAGACAAATCACCCAGCTTAGTTCCTTCTCTTCTCAGAGTGTACATTTATGGAGGTTTTAAGGATAAAGAGAGAGAAAAGGAGATTTCAATGTTCTGTAGTATGGTAAATCTGGATGTTTATTTACTTTTTATATAATTATATATAATAATTACATAATAAAATAACAATAATGTATGTGTAATATATGTTTATAATTTGTAATAATATAATTGACAAAAAATGACAAAACACTGTACTGTATTATGCATGCCAGGCCAATAGTTGGCAATGTCACATTGTAAAGAAGTGCTGCTTGCCTGCGCACAAGCCTATAGACTGACACATAATACGCATGATGTCACTGTTTTCACAGATTAGCATTTTTGTACATGGAGATGATAATGGTATTGTTTTCAAAAGCTTGCATTTTAAAACCTGTTTTAAAAAGTGTGCATTTTCAGGCCCCCCAAACGTTGTCGTGTAAATGAACGGCAAAATGCATTCAAAGTTTTCTGTTTTTAGTTGAAAACCGTGCTGTGTAAATGCTTCTTTCACACTTTTCCCTGTGTCAGTGGGTCATCTTTAATAGTTGAACCCTGGTCTGTGATTAGATCACTTTAGTGCAACCCCTTCCTCATCCAGCAGATTCATGTCACTGCCCACAAGCGTCATACTGCGTGTACAACTGCCTAAAGCTGAGAGGAGCAGGCAGTCTGTGTTCACTTGGAGACATCAAAGCCAGTGGTTCGTGCTGCGATGTGAAATTCGAGGTGCCAGCCAGTGAGGTTGAGTTTGTGATGTGCTTTGAAAGGCTTGTTACATTTCACCCCCTACAGAACCATGACTCAGACAAAACCCACATCTATGCCAGACTCTGAGCGCTCAGGAGGAGTGAACAGAGGAGGATTTGGCCTCATTTCAGAAATCCCCAACTGGTTCCTCCCATCCTTACTCTTTCCTGAAAGCTTTGACTCTGATTTGTAAAAGTATTAAAACTGTAAGTTGTAAAAAGCAAAATCAAAGAATGCTGAAAAAAGTATCAGGGTTTTCACAAAAATATTAAGCAGCACAACTGTTTTCAACAGTGGTGATAAGAAATGTTTCTTGAACGGCAAAACTATTTTCAGAAGGATTTCATGAATGTTGTAAATACTTCCCCCTGCCTGTCAAACTGCATCACTGCAGTCAGCATAACCACACCTCACTGTCAGCTCCTTGTTTTAACTCTTTGGTCATGAAAGGGTTTTGCTTATAGTTTGATGTACTCTAAACTTGTGAATATGTAAATGTGTCTGTTGATATGACTTCCCTCATGTTAATGTTATTACTTAATGAGCTAACCTCTATGGCCACATACACACTGCACATAATAGTTGCCCCTCCTTCTCTTTTGTTGACATCATTTGTTATTTGTAGGAGATTTGTCTCTTCTCCTGGAGCAAATCATGGCAATGAAAATATGCAGTGGGTATAGAAAAGTATTTTGTTGAACCACCTTTTGCTTTAATTACAGCCTTTAGTCTGTTGAGATATGCCTCTACTTTGCAGAATTGCTCAAGTTCAGTTAAATTTGATGGTGAGCGTTTGTGGACTGCAGTCTTCAAGTCATTGCACAGATTTTCAGTGGGGTTTAAGTCTGGGCTCTGACTAGACCATGCAGGGATTTTCACATTTTTATCCTTCAACCACTGTGGTCAGTTTTGCTGTGTGCTTTGGGTCATTGTCATGTTAGAAGGTAAACTTTCTTCCCATTGACAACTTTCTGGCAGAAGGCAGCAGATTTTCCTCAAGAACTTGACAGTATTTTGCCCCATCCTTTTGTCCTTCTTCCTGACAAGTGCTCCAGTCCCTGCTGCAGAGAAACACCCCCAGAACAGGATATTACCACCTCCATGCTTTACTGGAGGAATGCTGTTATTTGGATGGTGAGCTGTATTGGATTTCCTCCAGACATATCGTTTGGTTATCAGGCCAAATAATTCAATTTTAGTCTCATCTGCCTCAGAATCTTCAAGGTGAGTTTTGGCAACGCTCAGTCGTGACTGCATGTGGCCTTTCTTGAGGAGTGGCCTTTTCCTTGCAACCCTCCCATACGAGCCACATTTGTGGAGAATTGTGTGATATTGCTATCACATGCATACAATGACCACTCTTTGTCATAAATTCCTGCAACTGCTTCAGAGTTGCTGTAGGCCTCTTGGTAGCCTCTGATCCAGGGAGGGTCTGTGTTTTACCAAATACCTTCCACTTCTTAATAATAGACTTCACTGTGCTTCTAGGCATTGATAAAGCCTTTGAAATGTTTTTTTTATCTATCTCCTGACTTGTGCCTGTCCACAACTTTATCCCGGAGATCTTTCGACAGTGCCTTGCCACCCATAGCTGATTGTTTGCTTCAGGTGTACTACCAAGGACTGAAATGCTCACGAAAGCTCTTTTCATGCTGAGCTGATCAAAATGATCACAGCTGATCACAGTTGAAAGGCAAATATGCTGAGCTAATCAAAATGACCACAGCTGATCACATGAGAGTCAAATGGCTTTGTGTGGCATTGAGAAGGTGATTAGCTACACCTGATTGAGTTTACAAGTCATTTATAGGAGGGAGGTGATCCTTTTTCCAACTCAGTGTTTGTTTGTTTTTTTTTGTTTCTGACATGTCTGTGTTATATCGTTCACTTGGATGTTCTAAGTTGCTCTGAGTAAATGCAGCTGGATAAAACAAAAACTGTGTCCGTCTTCATTTCAGGCTGCAAAACAACAAAATGTGATTATTTTAAAGGGGGGTGATTCTTTTCTATAACCACTATATGTGTTCCTTGTGCGTGTTATTGCGTGTAGAGCGAGATGTGCGTTATTTGCAAATTTCAACAACACCAGTCCCATATTTATTAAATGTGGTTGTTACTCCCAAAACTGTGTAGTGTATACAAACCCATGTGCCTTGTATGCTTAACAGACCAGAGGTCATTTTGAAAACAATGCATGCAACCGTTTTTTTATCTGAATTTTCAGTCTTCAGTCATTTCTCCAGTCTTCAGTGTCACATGATCCTTCAGAAATCATTCTACATGAGAATTTTCTACATGAGTATTCTACATAATCTCTCTTTCTCTCTTGCAGGATCTAATCAACACTGTCACCAGCACCTTGTTCTTCTTTCTGGCTTCAGTGGTTTTGGCAGCTCTCAACCATCAAACTGGAGCAGAGATTGCAGCTGTGGTACCTATCCCCTTACTCAGCTCTTTATTTAATCAATTCTGTCCCTATGGTTGAATTAAAAATGTTTAGTCATTTCTCAAGTATTTGAAGTGGGCCCTAATATGCCGGGGCTCTGCTGCCCTCAAGTGGCTGAAATGTAGTAAGCACATAGTCGTTCCTGGAGAGAGACCTGGACAGGCAGAGAAGTGGGAAGTTCTGAGCAGTCATAGTCAACATCCACCTGAATGTTTTACATTTTTTGCTTTGATTCTTTAATTTTTAACACTGAAATTCTCACTGGTTCCTCTTTTCATCTGTCTCCATCCAACTTCTCTTTTCATTCAGAATTTAGTTTTTCTTCTTTTGTTTCTGTCTCAGAATCTAGAATGTGTGTCACAAGTGTGTTACTGCATAGCTCATTACAAATTCCCACAGAATTTGGTCACACATCAACCTTGTATTTGTTTATAAAGTATTTTAGCTAATTTGATTATGTTTTAAGCTGCCAGTATGAGTGTAGTGCACTCAGATCTATTTAAGTCCATTCCACAGAATTTATGGAAGCTTTATTCCACCTCAGAGTAAAAAGATAATCATGAAATAAAGCTTAAAATAAAAAATATGAGATACAATTATACAATGTGGCAGTTTTGATATCTAAGGTCATAGTGACTTTACCATCTTTTACTTTGAGGCTGGAAACTGGCTTCCATAAGTAATTCCACTGATTTTCCCCCAAATTTAGCACAGAAAATGCCAAAAAGTCCATTAACTCCATCTGGGACTGCTCATTACAGTGTTATAACTGAAGCCACTATAAACATTTCAGACGCACATACCTTTCTAGTTAGTTCGTCTGATTTGGTCAAGGCTGCTGACCTCTTGTGACTGGGAAGAGGTTTGTTGTAGATGGCTCAGTGAAGAGAAGTAGAAGGCCGAAGTTATTCCCAGTATTGATACAGGATCAGGTTCTCTTACTGAGATCCTGACCTTTATGACTTCAGTGACTTCAAGAATGACCTGAGATCAGCAAAATATCCACCAACACCTTGGAAGTCAAAGGCTGGGGATTTGTGCTAAGAGTTTTATGATACAGATGTTCTCAGTGGGAAACCACTCTTAACACCCGGGGATTTTTCTGAACCACAGGGCACTGCAAAATTCCTTCAGCCCTCAAGCCTGCCAGAGAGATGGAGTTCTGTTATCAGTCTCATATTGAAATTTACTATAAAACATATCAATATTATTTAAACATACAGTGTAGTACTGTAGATTTAATGCGATATATATACATTACTTCAAGAAATAGTTTACCCAAAAATGAAAATTTGCTGAAAAATTACTCATCCTTAGTCCATCCATGATGTAGATGAGAAACATTGTGATCACTTGCTCAATGGATTCTCTGCAGTGAATGGGTGCCATCAGAATGAGAGTCCAAACAGCTGATAAAAGCATCACAATAATCCAAGTAATCCACATGGCACCAGTCCATCACTTAACATCTTGTGAAGTGAAAAGCTGCGTGTTTATCATTAAGGCATTTTAACTTTAAACCGTAGCTTCTAACCAAAATACCAGTCTGTGATCCATAATAACACTTCCTTGAGTGGAAAAAGTCCATCCCCTGTTGTCCTCTCACATCAAAATCCACCGGCATATTTGCCTAGAACTGTTTTGGCTTGTAAATGGTGCTTCATCTGTGCATATTTGCTCCTGATTCAGACAGGACTTTTCCACCGGAGAAAGCAATATTATGGACAGAGGACTCATATTTTAGCCAGAAGCAACAGTTAAAAGTGTCTTGATGGATTTGTTTCTTACGAACACGCAGCTTTTTGTAAAATTTCACATTCATAGTTTAAAGCTGAAAACAATCCCCTTCAGAATTCTTGAGTATAAATAATTGTTTGTGTGTTTACCTCCAGATTTTTGGGTTCCTGGTAATGGGTGTGTACGGTCTGAACACATATTTGGCAGTTCGGAGATGGCGTCTCGGTGACTCGCAAGATGGACCCCTGCAGACCAGTGAGTACATCCGTGCCCGCACAGCCTCGCGGGGAGAGGTGGAGTCGAGGCCTGAGCTGCCGTAAAGCACACAGGTGGACCAATAAAAACTGAGACAACACATTCCTCATGATGGAAGCCTGATGACCGGGCAGTCTGGATGAGCTCTTACAAACAAACAGTTGCGTGAACAGTCTGAAATGGAACAAACTTATGGCATCTTCATCATCATCAGCCTCAGGCCGTTGTCATTTGACTGTATACTTAAATACTGTATCTTTCTGCTAATTAAGGGCTTTACCTTACCATGATCTGGATAATTATTGACCGACACTGACTCCACTGTGCTCCTAAATTCCCAGCGGGGAACCTGAAAGGTTTAAGTGATATTTGTGACTGAAGTGGAATGGAAATTTGTGGTAGTGTTTATGAGCAAAAAAGTTTTTTGTTTTTTTTCTCTCTGCAATTGTGTTCCTGTATCAAACACATAGTAAACTGCAGTTGCATCGGGATGTTTTTGCAGCAGCCCCTCACTGCAGAAAACAAGATCCAGGGGGCATGGTTGGATTCAAATCTAG